AAAATGCATTTCCTTATCCTGGCCATTCCCTAGATCTCTGACTAAAAAGAAAAGAAAAATAGTATCTGTTATTTTGACAAGATTGCTTGCAGCAAAGGGGGTTTTTTTTTGGTTTGTTTCTTAGAAGAGATCAAACATTACAGCTCATTTGCAGAGGGTTCAGCAGGACCTGACATGCAGATCTGATGCAACTCACACATGCCACCTCCCTGTCTATATAGCAGCCCAGCAAAACTGTCAGGGCAGTATGGGTGGCACACCCCAAACAGAAGGTGGTTGTGCAATGCCTCGTCCCATGTACTCCTTCCTGTTCACAGGCATTGCTTCCCATTGCTCAAGCTTAACACTGAAGCAGTGTATTGAAACTGCAAGAGTCTCCTCTAGTCGTATGTCCCATTATATTCAATACAAATGCAGGAGCACCTCCGCCAAGATGAAAACTGAAGCCTGTTGTAATGTGTGCTAAATTTAATCAGGGACAGCCCAATAAATTTTGCCTGCTGAGACAAAGGGCGAAATGGTGCTGCCCACCATCAAGTTCCATGTGCAGAATCTGACCAGCCTGGCAGATAAATCTTATTTCAACGCTGGTAATGGTGCCATGACCCATGGGAGGGCATGCAGCGCCAAACCCTTGGATGAACCTGTGGAGCGAGTGTCCCACTGGTATGGAGGTGTGGCACTGCCATCCTCTGGACTCAGAGGACTCCAACGGAGGACCTTAAGGCAACCCGGGAAGACCTGCAGTAGGAGAAGGCTGGGTCCCTCATATACAGAGCAGCAGCTTGCAGCACAAATGCTGCCAACAAATAGGTGACTGCTGCTACTGTTACTTCTACCGCTCAGTATCAGGGTTCAGTTTCAGTTTGTTCCTCGCTTCCCCAGAGCACAGCCTGAACCCTACCTTGCCTCCAGCAAGGAACCTTATCCCAACACCCGAGTCAGGCCTTGCCTTGATGCAGAGAGCACAGCTAATGGGAGAGAGACATCCATAGGCGCCGACTCCATGGGGCCTGAGGGGGCCCGAGCCCCCTCAAAAATTCGTTTGGGGGGGCTCTGCCCCCCCAATAATTTAAGAAAATTATTAGTTTTGCGCACTGCTTCCCCGCGAAAGCGGGCGCAGGCGGCGAAGCGGCGGCGAGATCTAGGCTGCCCGGGGAGCCGCGCCGCGGCCGGGCGGGCGGGAGTCCCCTCGGGGGTCAGGGGCTGCCTGCCCTCGCCTCGCTCCTCCGCGGCCTCCGCCCGGGATGCTGCCGCCCGGCCCTCGCCGCGCCGCCGCCTCTCGCGCTCCGCCGCCATCGCGGCCCCCGGTGCCCCCCCGGCGCCCCCCGCTCCTGCCTGCTCGCAGTGCCGGCGAAACCCCGAGGCGCTCCTCGCTCACGCTGGCGCGGCTGCCCATGGCCCGCCCGCCCGGCCCGCCCTCGCCCCTCCCGGCCCGCCAGCGCCGCCCCCTTTCTCAGGAAGGGAGAATCCGCCGCCGCTGGCCAGAAGGGGGAAAGCCAAGGCGAGACAACCTCCCGTTGATCATTCGCTTAGAAAACTTCCCGGGCCAGGACCCCGGTATGGGCCCCCCCAATATTTTTTATAAGTCGGCGCCCCTGGAGACATCTACTACATCTCATGGCATCAGGTGCAGGCCGGGCTATGCGTGGAACATGCACGTCTCTCTCCTCTATTCTCAGCTGCCTCACTCTACCCAATAGTAGGGCTGGCCCTGTGTATCATACAGGTAATCTCCCCTCCCAGCAAGATTTCCCTTTCTCTTCGTTGCCTACACATTGGACTCAGTGCAAGAGCCCTCCTGATGTGATATTTGAGTGAACGGGCAACACATAAGGGGCAATAAGTCTGGACATTTAGTTCTGCCCCTGAGGTTGCACAGCTCCTCAATATCCCCTGCAGGGCTGAAGGATAGCTTCTGAAGCTCTTTCTATCAGTGAAATATTTAGAATCCTCAAACAGGGTCCTAAACCACACAGCGAGCCTACAGGAATAGAAAATGCTCCTCAGTTCAGAAATTACTCAACATGTAATGGGTAAGAGGGAGATGAGCAACCACATGGCCTCACAGCTCTGAGTAACGTGTGAAGAGAATCTGATTCAGGTCTGCTCATAATACGGCTCCCTACCCCCCGTTTAAAGGATGTGCTTGCAACAGTGTATGCACTGATATACAGAACTACTAGAAAATATGACTGACAGTCTTAAAATCTAGGTGTTTGGATTGCTACTAAAGTCTGAGGCATTTTGTGTTCCATGTGGTTTGGTTCGTTCACTGTTGGTGTGGCGTGGACTATTACTTAGGAGTCTGCTGTGCATTTTGACCATTAGATACAGAAGTCTCCCATTTTTTCAACTTTTCTACCGAATCTCAGATTATTCTTTGCACACAACATTTCAACTTACTGTTAAAATCCCTATCAGTCACTCCCAGAAGTCTTCACACACACATTGAATATCTAAACATATTGGTATTATACTGCATTAAGCAAACCTACGGCCATCTTGAAGACAAATCCAATTCATGTTCTGGCCTGCTTGCTGTATATTTACACGGAAGACTGAAGTTCAAGGCTAACCAGGCCCCAGATGTTCTACAGATAGGATACGCCATTAAAAGTGCCTCTACCCAAACTTTCTTGGCTTATTGGTTCTAATTTTTTTCAACTCACAAAGTACACTACAGTGTGTTGCTCTGGCAACTAAGGATGTTGCACTTGGTACACAACACATTTGGCTTTAATTTGAATTCTTTATCAGGAAACAATTGCAGCATGCACTTATACTACTTTAAAATATTTATATTGATTATGAAATCACTTTAAGGCCACAGTGGAAGATTTCCTCCCTCTTACGAAATACAGTGGTATGCCTTCCTGCCCATTAGAGTGGCGGCACCTTTTTCTACCTAATCTCCTATCTAATTTGTCTAAATAAGATGTAACTTGTTGTGATTAGGAAGACTGTCAAACAATTTCTTGTGGATGGATAGACTCCAATTAGGATGCAAGACCACAACAATTAAAGAAGCCCCTATAATCTCATTTTATCTTAAGCACAGAGGTATGCACAGCTCCTGCTTTGGTCAATATTGTTGCTTTTTTTACACCCATCAGATGAATGTACTTCCAAACCTCTTCAGTTTGAAAAGCAAAGGCAAATCCCTGATCTTTTTATCATGAGCCAAGGAAGAATGTTGCAAACTTGTGTATTTGTCTGCCTTATTTTCCAGCCTTTGATGTCTAAAATAGGACAGTGTGAAACTGCAGGAATGTGTGTGTGTGTGTGTGTGTGTGTGTGTGTGTGTGTTTCAAACTTTCAACTATGCTTTAATTTGTGTCCTGGTTTTCTGAAATAAATATTTTCCCCCAGTATTTATTTATTTTTAAATCTGGCCCAGAGTTATTCAGAACTCAGATTCCTGCAAAGTCTTCTGTTGCTTGTATACATTTGCCTTTTGAACTACCGTATTTTTCGCTCTATAAGACGCACCAGACCATAAGACACACCTAGTTTTTGGAAGAGGAAAACAAGAAAAAAAACATTCTGAATCCCATAAGCCAGGACAGCAAGCGGGATCGCTGCGCAGCGATCCCGCTTGCTGTCCTGGCTTATGGGATAACCGCGCACAGCCTCTCCCGGGCAGGGGATGAAGGCTCCCCTTGCCCGGGAGAGGCTGCGTGCAGCTAAGGCTTCCCCAAGAGCTGCACTCCCTTTAAAGAGCGTGCGGAGTATGTGTGCGGCTCTTGGGGGCTTTTCCCCGAGGAGGGAGAAGGGCAGCCCTTTTCCACCCTTGGGGAAAAGCCCTGAAGAGCCCCACACATGCTCCATGTGGCACTTTAAAGGGAGCGCTGAGCAGAGCCTCCTGCCTGCATTTGCTCCATAAGACGCACACACATTTCCCCTTACTTTTTAGGAGGGGGAAAGTGTGTCTTATAGAGCGAAAAATACGGTACTTATGTATTATTTCCAATATGACAGAGAAAAAGGGTCGCAGCTCAAGTGGTTTGGAAAGCCACGTAGAGTAACTGAGGAGCATGTGCATAGAACCCTAGCGTTATTTCTTAAAGCTACTTTAATTAAAATAAAGTATATTATAACTGGAGTGAAGCAGTTAGAACTGAGTAGTCAAGTAAATTTGATTACTCATACTCTTGTGTGTTTAAAAGTCACATGATAGTGGTTCTATGACTGGAGAGTCTGTTGGTCAACCAGAATGGTCCCCAACACCATCATAGTCATTTGAAGTTACAACGTGGGGGAGAATGTGTTTTCCTCAGTACAATTCATTTGTAAGGAAGTTTCAAATGCTCCAACTCCCATTAGCCCCCAGCCAGGACAGTCAATGGTCAGTGATGAATGGAGCAAAATCTGAATAACCATAGGTTTCCTACCCTGCCTCTACTGACTGGGAAGGTGCCCGCTTTTGTCTAGACAACAAAGTATTCTGTTTGTTAGACATCAGAGATCACAGAATTGTAGAGTTGGAAGGGACCACAAGGGCCATCTAGCAGCCCAACCCCATGTGATGCAGGAATCTTTTGCCCAATGTGTGGCTTGGACACAAGACCCTGAGATTAAGAGTCTTCTGCTCTACCGACTGAGCTATCCCACGTTTTGGTAGGCAGTTTGGCTTCCTGCAAGACTGATAGGCCTCATTATTCCAATTATGAGTAATATTTATATTTTAGCTGGAACTACCTGCCCTAGATAGTGCACTCTGGGGGAATTAATGCACTTCCCCTATGAAAAAGCTACTTAGTTTTCAGACATGAATGCCGCAGCACTAATGAATTCAGAGATCACAAAGAAGCACGTTCAGCCAAAATTAGTAGGCACCTGAAGGTTCCATGTCTCATGTGTAGCAATCAATCAATAGTTCTCCCTCCCGTTACTTTTTAGAGTTTGCTTTTTCCTTTACTCTTGGAAGGAGGGGAGGAAAGCATTCCACCCCCATTAATATTCTTTCACAATTTTTTTCTTTCGCTTTTTCTATGTAGTATGGAAGATGACAACTGGAGGAAGACTTTGGACTACATCAATCAAAGCAAGCAAGCACATGTAAAATCAATATGCCAACAGAGATTTGCAATTAGCAATAAGCTGCTAGAGTGAAGATCATTTGTTGTCTTGCACATTTGTTCGATTGCAAACAGGCAGAATACTGAAAAATCCAGAATTAACTTAAAACATGCAATGCTCATTGAAGTTGATGGGTTTCTGCATGCAAAAGCCTTTTTGCATTGGTAAAGAATTTATAGCTCAGCCACCAGGGGTAGCCAACATTACCTTACTAATACGGTCAACCTGAGCAAGAGATAAATGACATCTTGCCAGCAGAAATTAACTCTACTGAGGGTTAAGCTCCCTCGCTTCTCATTGCCTCATATGCCCTAAAGGTATATATATATTTGACTCAAGATGAAGTATTATTAAATATCAAACTTAAAAGCTTGCCGAATAACAACAAAATAATTGATCTTTCAATCCAGTAACGAAAAACAATTCCAGTTACTACAAATTAACACCCATAATACATCACAACTTCCCAGAACATTCAAAATCTTCTTTCTTAAGGAATTAATATTTTCCGCAAGCTAGTTTTCAGATGGAATTCTATAATCAGTTATATAGCAGAAACCTAAACTGGTTTCAGTGGGAGTAAGTGAACAGAGCAGAATGCAAGGCTTTCATTTATAGCCTTTGCAAAATTAAGCAAGATCATAGGGATATAAAAAACACATTAAGCAGACCCTAACTCTACTTACCTGGGAGTAAATTGAATTCAATGCAACTTGCTCCCGAGCACACATGCTTACAAATGCACTTTGAGGCTACAAAGCCAATACACATTCACCTGGGAGTAAGCCTCATTGAACTTATTTGGTCTTATTCCTAAGTGGACATGCATAGGACTGCACGATCACAAAGAGTTTTTCAGAGTATTCCAAAATTAGAAAATTACAACAGGATTTAATGGGGGGGGGGGAAGGATGGGCAATATAACTACAGATTCTCTCCCAAAATAGGTACTTTCCAGATTTGTTGGGCTATAATCAGCAAGTATTTCCCTTGCTGGAAAGAACTGACGCTAAACTATTTTCTCCTTTAACTGACTTTGCTTTGGGATAAATCATCTTATTTCAGCAAGTAAATTACAAATCCATAAGCAATGCTCTGAGATCTTCTGTCACATTAAACTCAAATGGTTACTTTCTTGCAGTTAAAAACAATTTTCAAAGTACTGGAAATGCTCATCAGCATCACATTAATAGGAGTCAAATACTTCTAACTAGCATTTCTGCTTCCGCCAGAAAAGAAATGTGACGCAAACTAATTTCTTTCTTATAGCTCAGGTCTACTTCTCTGGAACATTCCCTTTCCACTGAATCATGTACCCCTTGAGAGAAGAGGACTCCGTCATTCTTAAATTTGCTTGTATGAGATGCCCAGAAGAACCACAACCACTAAGTGCAAAAGGCAACTGACATACTGAATTATCAACACACTAAAATTGACAATCTCAGGGTCCTCTTCATGTCTCTCCTGAAAAAGAATTGTTTAGTGCCAGTTATACACACAAAACACACATGTGACAGGGACCCTTCCCCTGGAAGACTTCACATTCTACATCAAGACTGGAACTAGACCAAGATCTGAGAATTTGTGAGGAACAGGCCCCATGAGGAGGGACATCCAGACAACTGAGGGGCAGGTGGGACAAGCCTAGGTTGGATTTTCCCTGATAAAAGGAGGGCGTTGACTACTCAGTCAGTTAAAGCCTTTTTGGGATTGGCTTGCACCCAGGCAGTCTGGAGCTTGCAAAAGCACATATATATGTGTGTGCAACAGGCATGGGTCAGTCATACAAGCCAGAAAGCGGTTCTCAAAGACCAACAGGCAGGGCACTTCAAAGTCATAGCAGATTAACTGTTGTCGCGGCTTTTCTTTTTTAGTGGCAGCAGGAAGCACTGACGGGACATTGGCAAGAACCCATGCAAGGCAAGCTTTATCACAATAATGGTTTACAGAACATTCCCTGTGCTCCCAACACTATAGCTTAATTTCAAACACTGGAAGGTTCGAGCTCAAGATGGCGCCTTAACTTGCAGAATGTGTTGCTAATGTAAGGACTGGACTAGTGCCTTTCATTGCAAGAAGCATTTGCACTGCCTGACATGCCCAATGGAAGCTTTTCTGTTGCTGCTGCCAATATTTCATGAACACATATTATGGATAACAATGCTGTAAACACAGACTTGCCAGCAGGCTCCACTGATCTGAGCAGGACTTAATACTGAGTAAAATTACTCAGTTACTGATGGGTTGTTTTCTTTTCTTTTTTAATGATGTGAAGCACCGTGGCACTTTTTTGTGTGTGTAAGTAAAAAGATGCATAGAAATCATTTAAAACAAACAAATAAACAAACAAGTCTTGATGGCTGTGATCCTAAGTACAGATATATGCAAATAGTTTCCACTGAAATTAGTGCTACTTATAAGAAGCAGATGAGTTTAAGCTAGAGATATATCCTCAAGAGAGATGCAAAGTCATCTAGCTGTTATGCGAACTCATGAGGAGAGCAGAGTGTTATTTCAGATGCTGACAGGTTACATTTTGCTGCTTATTCTGTCGTTAAATCTGTTTGTATGGAAAGTTGTTTGAAAAGGACAAGTGGATTATTTTACACGTCATTCCCTAAGAAACTCCAAATGTCAAAGATCTTTTCAGAAGCTCAAGTATGTTGTCTCCATAAACTATCTAGCCAATTCAACCAGAAACAGTTTACAAGGGTTCATTGAAATTTCCTTCGCAAACCCTAGATTTATAACTGTCTCTCTTATCAATATACACATCTGGAAGAAGTCAGATCTGTGTTTTAAGAGGAAGGGGGGGGACAAGAGGTTTTGACAAGACAGTTTGGAGAACAGCAGCTAGGAGTCTTTGTTTTGAAGTTAGTAGCAGCTTAATATTTATGCATTTGTACATTGACCAGTCAAATATTAACTACCCTTAACACAAGCCTTGTGGGTACTGAATAACTTTAATGCTAGTATTCTTTTGCGGCATGGGACAGCTTGCATGCTCACAGTCACAAAAACACCACACATTTCTATTTCCTACAGCCCAAAGCAAAGGACTGTCACCTTTCAGAAAGCAGGGGATGGGGGAGGGGTAGAGAAAGTGCCCCCAAGTACTGGCGTCTATAAGGGAAAGGGGTGGGGAACCTATATGCCTCTCCAACTCGCTCCAGCCAGCACGATCAACGGTCAGGAGTGATGGGAGTTGTAGTCCAAATAACATCGGGAGGGCCACAGGTTTCCTCCCACCCCGGGTGCAGGACGAAGTTGGAAGAGCCGTTCGTCTCCCTAGTGAACCAAGTCTCTCTCTCTCTCTCTCTCTCTCTCTCTCTCTCTCTCTCTCTCTCAGGAAAGAGAGAAATGTAGGAGTTTGCCTCAACAACCACGAATCACGAAGCGGCAGCCAAAAACACCACAGCGTTGTTGCAAAATGAATTGAAACCAAGCGCACACCAGGGTGGGGGTGGGATAAAAGCTGCTGCCAGGAATCCTGGAAGGCAGCCTGAGAAGGGTGTAAAGCTCTTTTCTCCCCGAACTGGCCACATTAATTCAAGTTGGCCCAGAGGCTTGTGAGAACACACCTCGCCCCATAGCGGTCAACCCCGCCTCGTCTTACGTGTCTGGGCATCTCTTTTTTGCGCGAGGATACCTGCAAAAATGCAATGCCTCCGGTTCGAGTCCCGTGACATGGCTGCGAAACCAAGGAAAGTTCCCCACTGGGTTCAAAGAGTCGCCTTGGCGAGGGAGAGGCTGGTCCAGAAAACAACCGAGCCGAGAGAGGACGAAGACCCCACCAGCCCGCTCCAAAGCCCCCTTACCGGACTCGCGGCTGCTGCGCGCTCTTCTTCCTCGCTCTTCGCAGGGCGCGGTGGGGCCCCGAGACCGACCGGGAAGACGGGAGTTGCTGGCGACGGGCGAGTCCGCCTTTCGCTCGCTGGCTGGCTTCTGCTCCCTCGCAGCTGCAGCCGCGCCTCGGCGTCGGCGAGGAAGGGAGCCGAGCGAGGGAGAGCGGGAAGGGCGAGGAGGCAGCGGCGGCAGCCGATGCAGCCTGAAAGGAAACGAGCGGCCCAAGTGAAGGGAGGGGAGGAGGAAGCGGAGGAAGATAGAGAGAAAGAAAAGTGCGTCTGAGAGACCGAAGTTGCCAGGCGCGTAAAAAGGGCCGTGCGCCCAGCAGCGCTCACTTCCCCATAGCGCGCACAGCCAAGCACTACCGCGCGCCGAGCCCTCGGGAGCCGCTCGCAGCCTCCGCGCTGGTTTACGCCCGACGGGGAAAAGAAGCCGCGCTCATATTGGATTAGGGGGCGGACCACGCGCGCCCCGGGAGGGGTAGCGGCTTAGCAAGGCGGCTCTCGGCTCCCGCGCGCCCGCTCCGCGTCGCCTTTTCCTCACCTGCCCTCCGTGTCTCCTCCGCCGCGGGAGGGCTCGCCTGCAGGGACAGGGCAGCGCGGCTCTGCCAAGCGGCCGGGCTGGGGCTCGGAGCGAGTTGGCGCCTCCCGCTGCTGCGCCGCGCTTGGTATCGCCCTCCACGCCCCGCAGATACCACGCTGCCCAGCCCGACGGCGGGGAGGAAGTTGCGAGGAAGTCCCGAGGAAAACAAAAGTGACTCGCTGCCGCCGCTCGAGTCCAGGGCGGAGGGGAGTTGGTGCGCCGCCGCTGCCCGCGTGGGAAAACAAATGTGCAAGGAAGCGGCCGGGCAGGGGCGGAGGGGGCGGCAGCGTGAGCTCGGCTCGCGCCCAGGAAGAAGCCCGGCTGCTTTCGACTCCGTGCAGAGGCAGCTGCGTTGCCTCGGAGTCCCAGCGCAAACGGCTGTAGCTTCCTCGCTCGTTAAGGTTGCCAGCTGGATAGCTCAGTTGGTTAGTTGGGCACAGCACAGTGCTGATAGCGCCGAGGTTGCAGGTTTGATCTCGTATTATGGGATAGCCGCTTACTCCTGCATTGCAGGGGTTGGACTGGATGATCCTTAGGGTCCCTTCCAGCTCTACTGTTCTATGTCAGAGTGCATGCCCTGTTACCCTTGAATCCTTATTAATGATGCTTCTTTATTGAGCTGTGCCCGTTCTGTGTAAGGACGGCGGTTTCAAGTTAACATTCTGCAAGGCAAATTAAAACAGAAACGGTTCTGCAGTGCAGCAATAGCGGTTAGCCTTTCTATTGCAGCTCACGTGCAACATCACACCCTCAGTTGTTGATAAGGATGGGAAATCTGTTGTCGTCATTCCTTCCCCCCCCCCCATGTTTTTAACTCTCCCCTCGCAGCAGATCCAGCTACCAGGGCCAGAGGTCAAGAATGATGGGAGCTGTAGTAGTCTAACACCATCTGCAGGGCACCAGGTTGAGGAAGGTACCACAGGCAATGACACATATCGTAGATGAGGATTGTTCCCCATCCCTGGTTTACATGTTTACTTCCCACTCCACTCCACCGTGTTTCACCTTCCAGTCTAATACTCTGCGATACAGGGATCCTGTCCACAGCCATCTCTGTGTGGACTCCAACCACCAACCTTCTGGTTAACAGTCAGATGCCACTGTAGCAGTATTTCTTCCCACCCAGTTTAATCCCTAGATTTACAACTTCCCTGGGGAAAATCTCATAAATTAAAAAACCCCAAAACCTGTTGCCAACCACTTGCCTGTGGTATCCAGACTTTCCTTAAAATATGAAGCTCCTGTCCAAAAGCTCTCTTAAGTGGACACCAGAAGGACACCTCAGGCAATAGTATCAAAAGCTGCTGAGAGGTCAAGGAGAATTAACAGTGACACATTTCCTCTGTCTCCCACTCACATACTAGCGGACACGGGTGGTGCTGTGGGTTAAACCACTGAGCCTCTTGGGCTTGCCAATTGGAAGGTTCGTGGTTCGAATCCTGGCAACAGGGTGAGCTCCCATTTCTCTGTCCCAGCTTCTGCCAACCTAGCAGTTTGATAGCATGTCAGTTCAAGTAGATAAATACGGTAAGTACCGCTGCAGCAGGAAGGTAAACAGTGTTTCTGTGCGCTCTGGTTTCCATCACGGTGTTCCATTGCACCAGAAGCGGTTTAGTCATGCTGGCCACACGACCTGGAAAGCTGTCTGTGGACAAACGCCGGCTCCCTTGGCCTGAAAGTGAGATAAGCGCCGCAACCCCATAATCGCCTTTGAATGGACTGAACCGTCCAGGGTCATTTACCTTTTAGCTTTACCTTTACTAGCAAATTCACATTGCTTAATTAAAGTGGATTTGGTGCGCCTGTATAACAGAGCCACTCCCCCCCGTCAAAATCAGACTTTTTGCAGTAAGGAAAGTGTGGGATAACAATTGCTTGATACATCATATAGCTCCCCTACAAACAAATCAGAATAAATGTTCACTAGAAGAAGAAGAAGAGTTTGGATTTGATATCCCGCCTTTCACTCCCTTTAAGGAGTCTCAAAGCGGCTAACATTCTCCTTTTCCTTCCTCTCCCACAACAAACACTCTGTGAGGTGAGTGGGGCTGAGAGACTTCAAAGAAGTGTGACTGGCCCAAGGTCACCCAGCAGCTGCATGTGGAGGAGCGGAGACACGAACCCGGTTCCCCAGATTACGAGACTACCGCTCTTAACCACTACACCACACTGGCTCTCAATAAACAGGTTGTCTATAAGCTAACTCAGCCTCATATACGCAGGCTTGTTGTGAAGGCCTGCATACTTCCTTGCCGCACAGCCCTCAGTTGTGCTTTGGAATTGCAATAATCTTGTAAGGCAGGTCAGTAGCAGTCCTCTCTATACTTATCTAGGAAGCAGCACTCAGAAAGAAATATGGTATGATTCGTGCCCCTTCACCCTGCACACACTGCTGGCTCTTCTCTCTGGCAGCACAACCTACAATTTATTATAGCTGTTGTATGGACAGAAAGATAACTTGAGGAGACTTTGCACAGGTCTGTGGGGCTTCGGGTGCACCTTAAAATATAAGGCATGAAATCATCTAATGAAACTTCTGTCAGAAACAAATTATATATAAAATCTGACATTTGTTAAGACCACTTCTCAGAAGGGAATATTTGCTTTCCGTTGTTTATATGCACCCCAAAAATCCCAGTCTCAGAAAATTTTCTTGTGCAAAAACTTTTTGTACAAATCCTATACTAGTGGCACTCAGAGTAGACCCAACGAAGTTAATAGGCACGACTAAGGTTAATGCAATTCTTAAAAATTAGCTGAATGCAACCCTTAATTGAAAAGTGTCTTTTTGCAATTTAATGCCCTCTTGCAAAATAATTTAGCATGTGGAGCATACATGCGACTATCAAAGAATCACTGGAGAGAATAATTTTCAAACTACACAAGCCAAACATCTGCACTATCCCTCATTTTCTAAAATTAGAGCAATCTAAACTGTTGTATATAATCAAGAGCACTCAGTACTAATATTGTGATTATTTGGCAGAAGTAGCTATAGCTAAGAGCTGATCCTAGGAATTATGCCAAGACCAATCTTGAAAAGGAGAACCGTTTGGCTGTATACCATCAAGAGCCAGGGCAGAGGAAGGGGGGAAATGGAGGTTATGGAGCCTGGTTTGATTTTAATGAATTTCTAGGTTCTTTATTGTGTAACCATCAGAATTATTTTTTGAAAGTGTAGAAAAGAGAGATACCAGAAATGAAGCCTAATGCTATGGAGTAAGCTCCACTGAACCCATTAGGGCTTATTTTAAAATAAGTATACATCAAATCGGAGGAAAGTCATGTACTTAAAAGGGAAGATCATTATATAACCTTATTGTAGTAGCTACAGAGAAAAGAAACTGGCCACCTTCTCTAAGTTTTGTTTCAATACCTTCTTGTTATATTTCTTCTAGAGTTGTGAGTTGAAGCTGTTGGCAAGCCAGGATAAGATCTGACAGATTAGCCAGCAGGGACCTCTCCATGAATGGCTGTTTGCCCGTGTGTTTCCCAACAATGGTAATATTAATAGAATTTTGTTGTATGAACAAATGAGGTTGGATTTAGTCACTAGAAGAGCATGCTTTTCGGTTAAAGGCTCTTGGCTCTATTGCTTGTTCTTGTTGTTATTAGTAATGTAAAATGCATGTCTTTTGGCTTTTCCTTCTTGCTTGTTTGATCCTGCCATGTCCTTTTCTGAATTCTTACAGAACAGGGAAAGACACACACACACACACACACACACACACACACACACTGGCTAGTTGATGTGTGCAAGGAAAAGGGATTTTTTTCTTGAATCCATAGGTGGTGATCCATCACACCCACATGCTGCATGCATTGATCATGTGTCAACCCCTGTTTCCATGGTAAACACTGTAAAGTCTGAAGTGGAAGTGCATGTGTTCATGGGGCAACACATGGCATGAACCACAGATATAGAAGAGTTACACATAATCCAGTTTCTGTTTGAGCATTGCTATATAGAGTGCAGGAAATAATATGTTTTGGGGAGTCCCTCTAATTCCAAATCTCTATAGCGCCCTGCCCCTTTTACAGTGGTACCTCGGGTTAAGTACTTAATTCGTTCCGGAGGTACGTTCTTAACCTGAAACTGTTCTTAACCTGAAGCACCACTTTAGCTAATGGGGCCTCCCGCCGCTGCCGCCGCTGCGCCGCCGCTGCACGATTTCTGTTCTCATCCTGAAGCAAAGTTCTTAACCCGAGGTACTATTTCTGGGTTAGCAGAGTCTGTAACCTGAAGCGTATGTAACCTGAAGCGTATGTAACCCGAGGTACCACTGTATTTGACTAACCAGCTAATTCAGTTGCGAACTGAAGGAGTCACTATGGTTTAACTGAGCCAGCCACCTCTTCGTGTGCACTGGTCCATTGACTCCACGCATGTGAACCAACTGGTCCTCCTATATTCACCAAAACAATTACAATGCAGCAGTCATCCTAGGCAGGCTTCATTTAAATGAGAGAGCCAAGCTGCTTTTTAAGAAATGTGCAGTATACGTAAAAACATACATGTATTTTCAAGCACGTGTATTGTACATTATTTGGCAACTGGTGTAGATTGTGGTTTCCTGCCAAATGTACAGTTAGCAGAAGACCTGGGTTTTGACCTCAAAAAGAATGAAATGAGGTTTTTTTGGGGGGGGGTTGCCACTTTTTAATCACATCTTCACTACTACCGTCTGATCAAATTCTGCAATGATCATTCTTCCTACTTTCAGATTGCTCATGCAAAATTCTTAAAGGAAGATACTGGGGGATTTGAAATACATGCCAAGCAGCATCACCAGCTGAGGTAATCAACCCACTTTTAGTGCAATGAAGTCAAAAGCATTCATCTTTAATGGTGGTGTTTGGGGAAATCTCAAGAAGGTCTGTCCTAAAAGCACCATTTTCTTCTGCAGGACAATATTTTCCTGGAATAATAGAACTAGATGAGTATTCAGTGTAAATTAACAAAATGCCTGACATTTGTTGCTGACAGATGCTGATACTTGAACCTTTGCCCATTTCAGTTCGGCTCTTCAGCACTTCCTGATCCCTCCGGATTGCTAACCTGGGCTTAGAGTGTACATAAATAGGTCTTTGAGATGCTAGTTGCATATGTGGATTTTTTGATCAGACAGCAAAGGTTAGTTTAGTGCATGAAGAATTGGTGTCTAGCTGTAGTTTATCAGTTAAGCTAAAGGCAGGCGGGATTTCTGAAAAATTATTTGTTTGATAGCAGATGAGAAACAGCTAATGGGACTTTCATTTTTATTTCCCTTCAGCTCAAAATTTCCATCTGCAAGCAGAGACAAGCATGTTGTTTGGATGTAAATTCCACTGAAATGAATGGGGCTTGCTTACAACTGAATATGTTTAAGATCTGGTTACAGGAGCAGATGTGCTGTGTTTATTTCTCCTCCCCCAGAAAACCAGCTGCTTCTCACGGCAAGTTAAATATGCATGATAGTGAATTAGTTAACGGTAGAGTCTCAGTGGGTCTTATTATCGTATCATACCTGAAGCACATCTCGACAAACTCCCAAAGATTCTGTGAGGATTCACCAAATGTTAACAGATCCATGTTAAGCTGTAATGTTTTTAGTTAACTCCACATTATCCACAACGTAAAAGATTGTCAGTCAGAAAATACAGGGTTCGTGGTAATGCTTTATACTGCACAGTTGCCTTCCTGAAAATGTCTGCCTGCCTCATTTCCCTCCCCAAGTTCTGAGAATAGCCACCGTTGTGTATTTTTTCATGCACCCAGCATGACACACGTGAGATACAGACTTGCACAGCTAGACAAAGAAAATAGGTTGCATTTCAGTCCCGACTTTTGTGTGAAAGTGCCCCGGGGGACACTGTCATGCGGAAGTATGAATATATGATAAGACCAAGACATAAAGTTGCTCACAAAAAAGAAAAAGAAAAATGCTTTTCAGTTCAGTGATAAGAAATTGTGACAGTATCGAAAATAGAAAGTATGCCCATCCCTAAGGGCTTTCGTAAGATAACACAACAAACACATTCTGATAAAAAACCATCAGTGCTGAGTAATGCTTGACGTTGCCATTCCAATTCACTCATAAGCTGGTCTGGAAACAAAATAGCATGGCTGGGCTCCATTCTCCAATTCGTAGGTATAAACTTGGGCTAACCTGAAATCATGAGTATCTGCAGGGGGAATGGGCAAGAGAGGGCAACTGCCCTGCCTCACTGGAATCATATATAAACACAGAGATACACTATAGTTGCCAGATTTTTTTCAATGAATCCGGGGACATGTTTTAAAATTTTTTTTTGAAGCTGAGTAGCAACAGGGAGTCAGTAGTAGGGATGGTGAGGCAAAAGACCCTGGGCCCAAGCACACATGCATATTGTATAAAGGTGCAAAGCCCTTCTTTGCACCCTCTGAAACATAAATGCACAGAGTTTTTAAAAAACTGGGCAACAGCCACCTGCCCGCAACTCCCGAGCCTCCCCTGTTCAGTCAAAACAAAGGGGGCAGGGGGAGGAGATCTGTACCGCCGGACGTCCCCGATTCCCCTTTGGCAGTGGCAGCGGCAGTCAGCAGCTCGGAGTCAGCCTGGTAGCGCAGTTGGCTCTGGCTGGCTTCAGGAGCTGCTCGCTGCCGTGGTGTCCGCCATTATTCCTCACCAGAAGTTCCGGCAAGGAAAAATGGCAGGCACCACAGCAGCGAGCAGCTCCTGAAGCCAGCAAGAGCCAACTGTGCTACCAGGCTGGCTCTGGGCTGCTGAGGCTGCCGCTGCCACATTTCCCGGGGACAGATTTGCAAATCTGGGGACATTCCGGGGATGGAATTTGTCCAGGGACAGATTTGCAAATCCGGGGACTGTCCCCGGGAACCGGGGACATCTGGTAATCCTAAAATACACACACTCACAGCCAGCCAACAAGAGGTTTAGAGTGAGCTCAGACCACTTCTATTGAGAGAGGGTGGCAGACAGGCTCTGCACTTTTCTGGAGAAAAGCCTTCCTGGGCCAGCAAGGAGCTGAGATGTAAGCCACTGCTTGTGATCTAATGATGCTGCTTCTGCAAATGTTCAAATGATATAAGCAAAGGAGTTGTGCTGGCTCTTGGTGATCAGGTGAGGAGCTTCAAGCTGCTGGAGGACCAGCCCTGCTTTATGAGGGGCGGGTGAGTGTTGGCCAAGAGTAGAAGCCAAAAGTAACCCAGCAGAAGAGAAATCAAAAGTGCCGATGAGGCTCTCAGGAAATGGGTAGCGAAAATCCTTTTTGCTGAGCAGCAGAAGCTTATTGCTTCTGTTTTGAATGGTTGAAAGAAAGGCACAAAGGTGATATGTATAAGGTTGCTAGAGAAAGCAAAGAAGCGGAACTGTTTTTATTTGCTTAGCTGCGGATGTTTTCAACTACTTCAGAACCCCTGCCCTCCAAATTATTTCTGTAAAGTTGCACGACTGAAATGGCTGCCTCTGCTTGCAGGTGGCAAACTGGGTTAGCCATTTGTTTTTTGTCCCAAGGCTTGGGTTTGGAGGGTGCCTTTTCCAGAGTAATGTTGGTAGGAGGCAGCTTCCTCTTTCTTTCTCTTCTAAATCATTTCATAAAAAGATGCCACCAGGGCGGTAGGGGGAAGATACCAGTTTTGGCCCCTTCTCCCTGAAATGGCTGCTCCTATTTCTGGAGGCCTTGAGGCCATGCCTACTTGGAGGGGTAACAGGAATCCATAACTAGCAGAAACCCAGTGCAGAAATGTGAGGTGGATGGAGGGGAGGGGAGTAAACATCCTTAGCTTCAAGTATTGGTTGTTGTTGTTTTTTACGAGCTGAGTGACAAAATGCCTGGGATTTTTTGAGACCTGTTTATATGCTTTATGGCAATGGCTGCTGGGCTTTATAGGGCAACTTAGCTTTTACAACATTTCTATGTGTGGCTCCTGAAGCGTGGAGAAGAAAATAAAGAGCCTGGCTAGATGCTGCTGTCCAGCTCCAGCTCCCTCCTCCTCCTCCAACTGTCCTCCAACTGTCACCCCAAGGGTTTTCTGAGGGGATGAAGAAGAAGCGTTTGCAGTGGTCTTTCTCATTTTAACTTGTAACTTTTTTTTTTAAGTGCTTCTTGTTATAATAACCTTATGTTAACTACTTTGTGAGGTTTGCCTGCAAAGTAGCGTGTGAATACCATAAACAATCAAACGTGTAATGGAAAGTTAGGAGATATGAAGAGCCAAATATGTGAGGGCAGAGGAAATGCAGGGTACACAGAGATTAGGAAATTGAACTGAGCGCTGTGTGATATCTACTGGTTGTAGGCTGTGCCAATCTTTTTTTTGTTTTGACTTTCACTTCAAACATGGCATATTTGATGCAGCCCAACAAATTATGAGAAGAAATCCACAGCACTGAATATTTGCTTTGTTCCAATGCCAGTCGGTGCCCTTTTGCTTCCCTGGATCTTGTCATTTTTCATCTTCTTTTCCCTCATTGATAGTTGTGGACCTTCTGGTCCATGACTTCAACTAGCCAGACAAAGCATTGTGACATCAACAGCAAAATAATTTGATTTCCTCCAGCCTAGAGGTGGATTTAGGGGAGCATGACTGGTTCACCCACACTGACTGGCACCAAGGCGAGACAGCGCAGCACAGGGTTACATATAGTTTCATATAGTAGTTTCATATAGTAGGAGATACGGCATCCCTTACAGCCTAATAGAAAGGTAGAAAAAGAATAAAGAATCCCTTCAAATTCAGTCCTGGGATTCTTCAACACCATGGCAGAGACCTCCTCTGCCAGATCAGTCAGGGGCTGACTCAGTACACCAATAAGATCTTGGTTCTGTCCCTGCTTCCCAACACCAAGTACAAACTCTTGAATTCAGCTTCCTGATGGATTGGCCTCCTGGTAAGAACGATGGAAATTTTATGGATCACTGTTGTAACCTGTCCTTCTGACCTTGACTGCTGCTGCACTGAATACTCAGGTGGGTACAACTGGGAAGGTCAGAAACCCCAGGTCTCAATAGTACACACCAGATCAGCCACTTCACCCACAATCAAACTAAACTGGTTGCATTGCTGTGTTTATGGATTACCGCATTTTTCGCTCTATAAGATGCACCAGACCATAAGACGCGCCTAGTTTTTGGAGGAGGAAAACAAGAAGAAAAAAAATTATGAATCCCAGAAACCAGAACAGCAAGAGGGATTGCTGCGCTGGCTTCTGGGATAGACGCACAAAGCCTCTTCAGGGCAGTGGGATGAAGGCTCCCCCTGCTCTGAAGGGGCTAAGCCAGCTACGCAGCGATCCCTCTTGCTGTTCTGGCTTCTGGGATAGCTGCGCAGCTTGCATTCGCTCCATAAGACGCACACACATTTCCCTTCACTTTTTAGGAGGGAAAAAGTGTGTCTTATAGAGCAAAAAATACGGTACTTGATCCGAGCAACCCTGGACACCCCGAATAAAATAAAGCATGCCAAAACCTCGAAAACATGTTGCAGTGTTATCTGTTTCAGCTGGTTTCCACACAGGATCAGGCAGGCAACAGACAACAGTTTCATTCACAGATGACTTGCCTTACCGTGTATCACACAAATATTAGAAAACATCAGGCCAGCTCATAGCTTATATGCAAATCTGCTGAAAGATCCCATTGTGTCATGAGTGATGCTAGGTATCACATGGAACATCAAATAATATTCACATAGCCTGGTGCCTTTTATGCACCGTCTATGGATTTCCCTCTGTTTGTGTTGGCTGACAAGCAAGAAGAAAAGAATAATAATAAAAAGTTGCTAGATGGGTATCTCCTAAATTCTTAGCTGTATTACTCTTTCACATTAAGTGCTTCATGACACCTGTTTTGTATCCATTTAATGAACATGGTACCAAAGTATCTGACTAGAATACAGACTCTGGTTATCTCTCCCATGTAAGCGTATCGTCACAGAATGCAATTTTGCTTGCATTCGGCAAAGATTCCACAGTGACAGCAAAAAGAAAAACCAGCCGCGATAGAAAATAGTGTTATCTTTGAAATGAAAAATAAATATGAGGCGTGAAATAGATATTGTTCCGATTTGCCTTCCCAGCTAAGACTTACTGCATGACTTCCACCAGCTCACTTAACTGGTGTGTCACTAAAAATGGGATAGCAATCTTTCAGGCTGCAACCTTTGTATCTGCTTTCCTAGGCGTAAGCCTCACTGAACTCAAAGGGGCTTCCTCCTGAGTAGGCATGCATACAGTTGGACTGCCTGTAATTCACTAGGACCATAACCTGAAACTAATTTTGCAAAGGCCACTTTTGGGACAGGGTGACCAGTTTCCCCTTCTCATCAAAGGAACTGTAAAAATAAAAATAAACAAGTTCAGTTGGCCTGATGTTCATTCTGTCCACACACCACTTTTGTCTTCAAGTTGAATGTGGCTGTGTACACATCATACATTGATAGCATATCAACATCAAGAATCCTGTTTATCAAGAGTGCCTGGAATGGTAGCTCTGTAGTCAATAAACTACAGTTCCCAGGGTTCTTTGAGGGAAGCCATGTGCTTTCAATGTATAGTGTGCATCCAGTTCCTCTGCTCCATTTGCAATTGTTGGCTCCTTTAATATTTAGTGTGACCAGGTTATTCTGAGCTTTGTAGGCTCGTATAATGCCCAGGCAGAAGTCCACTTTTACTTGAGCTCTGTTTTGCCTGAAACTGCTTTCCTGATAGCAAGATTAATTTCCTATTTATTATCAAAACAAGAAAAGAAAAGAGGAAGGGGGAAAAACAGTCTGAAGCGGTAAGATTCCAAGAAGCAAAGCATTTGGCAGAAAGAGTTCCTTTGCTTGTTTTCACACAGATCCTGTTATGGCTGACTGATTCTCATGTTGCATCGTTTTTTTTTATAACTGCGCAAGCATGAAGTAGCCATTTATACTTCAACCTTGCGAATAGGATAAAAATGTTTACTAGCTCAAATACCAGAGAGAGGGAGAGAGCGAGAACAATCCACTAGTGCCAAAGCAAACGCTCACTCTTTTCACCCCCATTTTGCCCTGACCAGGAAGGTCTGCACCCTCAGCCCAATTCTAAAGCGTATCCCGTGCTCAAAATAGCACAGAAGCCCCACTGCTGTTTGTGTCATACACATGACCACCCACTTAACTGTTCTCTCACCATCTTACATCATTGCTGCAGTCTTATTATCTCAGCTGCGGTCATTCTTTTTTCCACTGCCACATTCTACGCAGCTCTCGATCACTTCTTGTAAGTCACACTCAGCCACTTTGGGTGCTTTCAGGCTGT